TTCTCTGCCTTATTATTTTTGAACACTGCATGTTGATTTACAAACGCCGACACACACACACACACACACACAGACACGCACGTAAAACACACACATCACACAGAATCCTGGCTCTTCCTCCTTTCCAGTAATGCGATTGTGAGCGCAAAGGCAAACGTCACCACATAAATCAACCAGGAAATAAAAGCATTGAATATTGCATTACACAGACGCCCCAAGGGCGGGCACACACACACACACACACACACACAAACACGCACATGCACAAACTCAACCTGCCACACACACACACAGATTGTGTGGGCAGCAGCACTAAATCACCAACCGATTTCCAAACCATTCCTCCATTAAAACAGGCCCATCAACAACAGCGGTAAATTTGAATGGATGTAGCATCCACAAGTAGAGAATCCCAATTGTTTGGTTGAGAGGTATTAATCAAATGTCTTTCAATGGTCAAGTGTTTTGGTATTAACTTCATAGTTTACATTGATAAAGAGGCAATAGATTGCTTGTTTGTCTACTTACTGTACTGCCAAATAACCTCTAGGGTTGGATGAGGGATGCTGGAGGTAAAGTGTGCCGTCACTAGAAAGCACGGAAAAAAAGATAAACCTGCCAAGAGAATGCTCTTCTACAATCTTTCATCGTACTCGTAGCCATATCAGCTTTGAATATCAATAATCCTTCATTCATTAGCTGCCAACTTACACGTTTGAACTCTTTAAGCACCGATGAAGAAATTATACAGAAAAACATTTTTTCTCCTTTTGATTTCAAAGTTGCTAAACACATCAAATCAAACTGTATTTGTATAGCATAGTTAATAACAAGGCAGTTGACCAAAGTGCTGAAACGCATAACATCACCATGATAGCCTCTTTTGATATTTAAGTAAAACATATCTTTAAGCAAATCCATCCAATATTTCTTGAGATTTTTCCCACAAAAAACAACACACAGATGTAAACAATATGGTGGAGCTGCAGGAAAAGTCAGAAGATGACCAAAGTAATGCAGACAGGGGATCACCAAAGATCTATTCCAATATCTGCACCAACTGATAAACTAGCATTGCCATCCACAGAGCCACGTCAATAGTTTAGACCGTCTCCTTCAAAACATCAACACAGCTTTTGAATTTGAAGACATTGAATTGTTTTCGTAATGCATGGATACATTTCCAAAAAACGAAACAATTCATATAGCTCAGCCTTCCAAGTAACACGTAATCAGATAATGGCAATCAGGCAGACAAAGGCTCATTGTCGAAAGTACAAAACACAGCTTAATTTCCTTATTAAATGAACAAATTAAGATGGCACATCATCCAATGCAGTTATTATGTTCCCACACTCTATAAAGACTCGTAATTAAGCCAGCTCCCTCTCAAGATAATCATTCAGCATGAGTGACGAAATGATTGTTAAGAATGATTTCATACCAAAGCAGGAGGGCAACACGTGCAGAGGTCAAGAAAAATGATAGATGTTACACACAATCATACAATCATACATTTCTAATCATACATTCCGACTGACAGCTTTGATGTTGTTATGTTTGCCTTTTTTTTTTGGAGGTGAAACACGAATAATCTCCGCCCAATCCCTCTCCATCTGACGGTGTGTGCACACCTGCCTCCTGGCCTCTGCTCTGCACATAAACCTGTAACGGGTGTAGTAAGGACCCAGGAGCAGTACGACAAACACCAGGGATAGTTTGACTCGAAACTTTATTTTCTTCGGCACACACACAACAGGAAGGAATATTTACAGGAAAACAGCGGCAGGTTCTCGTGGTCGGGGACAGAAGGCTGAGTGAGTTACCGGGGCAGAGGCAAGGACGGGGTAGTCCAAAACAGGCAGGGTCGGTAACGGGGACTCAGTCCAAGGGGGTACGCGGGAAAGTCTTGCATGGAAGCGAGAACGATCTGGCAGTGTGTGTGTGTGTGTGTGAGGCAGGGGTTTAAATAGTGGAGGAGGCAGAGTGAGCAGGTGAGAGTGACTAGCAGGTGCACTGAATGAACTGATTGGGTGAGTGAGA